AAAAAAAAAAAATTAAAAAGTAAAGCATGACTTGGGGGGCTTGTAAGGCGTGGAGGGTCCCGTCATGCTGTGTGGGGTGACACAGAAGTGTGGGGATGTAGTGGGAGGAGTTAGGTGAAGGGTTCGATCCCCCCTTTCCTGGCCCCTTCTGGCCCCCTGAGCTGGAAGGGGGCAGGGTGAGTGGCTCCCTCCTCTCCCCACCAGCCACGGGCAGGCATAGCCTCACGTCTGGGCCCCCCTTCCAGAGGCGGGCACCAAGGAGGAGCCCGTGGCAGCCGATGTCATCAATCCCATGGCCTTGAGACAGCGAGAGGAGCTACGGGAGAAGCTGGCAGCCGCCAAAGAAAAGCGCCTCCTGAACCAGAAGCTGGGGTGAGGGGGTCCCTGCCGGGGTGACAAGGGAAGGACCTGAGGAGGCTGCCAGGGAGCTCTTGAGTCAGGTGGGGGGAGCAGGAAAGGGGTTCTCCAGAAGGCCACTTTCTTTCCTCTTCAGGAAGATAAAGACACTGGGGGAGGATGACCCGTGGCTGGACGACACCGCGGCCTGGATCGAGCGGAGCCGGCAGCTTCAGAAGGAGAAGGACTTGGCGGAGAAGAGGGTGAGCGCCCGGGGAAGCTGGGGGCGGTCACTCAGGGCCTCTGGCAGCCCGACCGGCTGGTGAGGCAGGAGGCTTGTTCTTGGGAGGTGACCGGGCTCAGAGAGGGGTCGATGCTGTCTGCTCTGGATTCCCTGCAATGGCCTGCTTTTTCTGCACTCCCACCTGGTAAAGTCCCACGTGTCTTCCAGTGATGCCGAATGGCGTGAGGTCATAGGTCACCCCCCTCCCATCCCATAGGCCAAACTGCTGGAGGAGATGGACCAAGAGTTTGGTGTCAGCACTCTGGTGGAGGAGGAGTTTGGGCAGAGGCGGCAGGTAAGGCCGCTGCAGCGGCCGAGGGCAGGGAGGGGTGGACGCACCACTGTCCTTAGTGCTGGGGTCCCAGGGCTCGGGGAGTCCGGGCTCCTGGCTTGTCTGGACGTTCCCTCTGCCTTGTAGGACCTGTACAGTGCCCGGGACCTCCAGGGCCTCACCGTGGAGCACGCTATCGATTCCTTCCGAGAGGGGGAGACTGTGATCCTCACCCTCAAGGACAAAGGTGGGTTGAGCTCAGGTGCTCTGGTTGGGGACGTAAGCACTGCTGAGTTGAGGGCAGACGTGAGTGGCCGCTGCTCCTGCCCTGTCCGCAGGTGTGCTGCAGGAGGAGGAGGATGTCCTGGTGAACGTGAACCTAGTAGATAAGGAGCGGGCAGAGAAAAACGTGGAGCTACGGAAGAAGAAGCCCGACTACCTGCCGTATGCGGAGGATGAGAGCGTGGACGGCTTGGCCCAGGCAGGCCGGGCAGCACGGGGCTGTGAGATGGGGGCTCTGGGGCTTTTCAGGAACAGGCTGGATCCCGACCTGTCCCTCTTGTCCTGCAGCAGAAACCCCGCTCCATCCTGTCCAAGTACGACGAGGAGCTCGAGGGCGAGCGGCCGCACTCCTTCCGCTTGGAGCAGGGCGGCACGGCTGACGGCTTGCGGGAACGGGAGCTGGAGGAGATCCGGGCCAAGCTGCGGCTACAGGCTCAGTCCCTGAGCACAGTCGGGCCCCGGCTCGCCTCCGAGTACCTCACACCCGAGGAGATGGTGAGCCCCGAGCCCTCCGGCCACGGCTTGTGATGGGGTGGGGCTTCCTCCCCCTCCTCCCGGGTCCTGTGCGGCCAGATGAGCTGTGGGGGGTCGAGCGTGAGGGTCTCGGCCCTCATGGGTGAGCAGGGCGGTGTTGCGGGGAGCCAGTGGCTGCCGACAGAACGGGGACCGTTGAGACAGATGGTCCTGAGTTCGTGTTCGGGTTCTGCCATCTAGCCAGCTCGTGCTTTGGGTGAGTCATTTAACCGTGAGGCCGAGGCTCCCCGTTTGGAATGGGAATGGCAGGAGCCCCCGTCTTGAGGGCCATTGCGAGGGTCAGTGACAGCGTGGGTGAGTGTAAGTTTACAGCTGTGTGTGGAGTTTGTGTTTGGGAGGATTGTGAACGCAGAGGTAGACGCCGGGCTCGGTGAACTGCTTGGCCACGTGATTAAGAGCAGGACCCCCCCCCCCGAGCCACAAAAACAAGATTCGCAATCCTGGCTGTGCCTCTCAGCTGGGCAACCTGAGGCAAGGAACGCAGACTCTCTGTTCTCAGTTTTCGTCATCTCACAGGTGGGACAAAGTCCCACCTCCCTCACGTGTTGTCTGTGCGCGGAAGCGCTTAGGACAGAGGCTGGCACGGAGGAGCACTAAGGAAGTGTTCGTTCTCGGGGGCTCATGGCCGCCCGCCTTCCCCGTGTCAGGTGTCGCCTCTCCTCCCCTCAGGTGACCTTTAAAAAGACCAAACGGAGGGTGAAGAAGATCCGCAAGAAAGAGAAGGAGGTGGTCGTGCGGGCCGATGACTTATTGCCTCTTGGGGACCAGACTCAAGACGGGGACTTTGGTTCCAGGTGCGCTTGGAAAGAGGGGTGCGGGGTGGGGGCTGGCCTGGCCCAGGGGCCCGTGCTCACCCGAGAGGCCTCTCCCCCCCAGATTGCGGGGCCGGGGTCGGCGCCGAGTGCCTGAGGCAGACGAGGAGGCCCCGGAGGAGGAGGAGAAGGAGCCGGCGCCTCAGCCCTCGCAGTCGGATGACACCCGCGTGGAGAACATGGACATCAGCGATGAGGGTGAGGCGCCCTGCCGGCCGGGGGCTGGTGGGGTGGGGGGAGCGGTCAAGGGCAGGGACGAGCACCCCGGGGCAAGGGGATGATTCGAGCAGAGGCCTCCCGTGTTTCCGCCAGAGGAGGCTGGAGGCGCGCAGGCCGGGTCCCCAGAGGCGCTGGAGGAGGACGAGGCGGAGCTGGAGCTACAGAAGCAGCTGGAAAAGGGGCGCCGCCTGCGGCAGCTGCAGCAGCTGCGGGACAGCGGCGAGAAGGTAGGGGGCCCCGGGGCTGGGTGGGAGCGGGTGGGTGTTGGCCTCTCCAGGGCTGGGGTCTCCGGGGACGGGTGTGCCATGGCGCCCTGTCCCCGTGAGCACGGCACCTGCACTCTGGCCAGGATCCTCTTTTTTTGTTTAACATCGCGTCGTTAGCAGATCCCTAGGTTTGAGCGGTGTTTTTGCTCTAAGGTGGCGTAGGGTTGGAGCCTTCCCTGCCTCCCTCCCTTCTGTGGTTGGGTGTTGCATGCCTGCCGTGAGTAAGGCATCGTCCCGAGGGCTGGGGAGTCATAGGTGAGCGGGACCGCGAGGGGCCCTGTGCTCACGGAGCTGCGTTTCTAGCTGGGGGTGGAGGCCGGCACACGTGCATGAACACACTCTGGTGGTGCCTCGAGCCGGGCAGACCGAACCCAGGAAGACGGAGCCGACGGCTGGGGGGCTGGCATCTTGCATCACCTGTTTGGGGGAGATCTCGCAGGGGGCGGCATCTGAGCTGAGACTTCTTAACACGAGGAGCCAGCCTCGCAGGGATTGGCCTAGGACTCTTGAGGACCCGGTGGTGTGAGCTGAGCAGAGGGGCCGGTGGTCCGTATGGCCTCGGTCGTTGCTGACCCTCAGCGGGCACTAGCGTGTCTGGGCACCGCTCGCGTGCTCTGTCGACTCACTTAGGCAAGTTGCCCAGGGTTACGTGACTGGTACGTGGGTTTGAACAGCCTGACTCCAAAGTCTGCGCTTTTAATCCTACCCCTCCCACTTCTGGAGCGAGTGAGAGAGAGAGAGGCCGGGACGGGGAGCCCTGTGTGCCCAGCCGGTGGGGCACAGCAGTGGGAGCTCCTGGGGGGGGATCCGAGAAGCAGCAGCCCCTGAGGTCGAGGAGAGCCGTGGGAGTGGGGCTCACAGAAGCCAAGAAGGACTTTCAAGGAGGGACAGGCGGGTCAGGTGCGGCACAGTGTGTCAACAAGACTGAGGAGACACGGAAGCGAGGGCAGCAACTTGGGACAGTTAGAGCGGGAGCAGGTGGGCCGCACGAACACTGGAGCGCAGGGGCTCAGGCGCTCGGCCGTTGCAGCGGGGCATGGCTGCGACCCAGTAAAACTTTATTTGTGGCAGCAGGTGGTGGCCGGTACTTTGTCCACCGCTGCCCTAAAGAGGGTCAGAGAAATGGGCAGTAGCTGAAGGGGGCGTGATGGAGAGTAGGGTTGGGTTTTTTTTTTTT